ACCCCCCAGGGGGGATGGCCACACCTCAATCCCTTCTCCTCTATTCTCCTCTCAGGATCTTGGGCACGCATGCACACGCGCCCGGCGTGAGTTTAAGCCACTGGGTCCGAGACTCGAACCGAGGTCAACTACGTGGGAGTCCAGCAACATAGCCATTACCCTAACTGCTGGTCCCATTGTGCTTATATTTTATTAAGAATCTGGTGTGCTAGAAAATTTTCTCTGGCTTAGTTCAGATTTGAGAGAGGAAAAATATTATCTTGGGCTAGAAGATGGTGTGGAGATTAGGGTGGCCAGATCCGTCAATGCTGACAACGCAATTCAAGTCCTGGACCTGGCAGCTTGGGAAGCACACCAGGCACATGTAAGTGCATGCCCAAAGTCCCAAGAGGAGAATGGAGGAGAAGGGATTATGGGGTGGCCATCCCACCTAGGAGTAATTTCTCATTTTCACTCTCTCTCTCTCCAGCAACTGCATGTGCGCTATAGCATAAATAAATAAATAAATAAACAAATAAATAAATAAAGCAAGCATCATCTTGAGTATTATACTTTTATCTGCTCACTTTAGTAAGTGGTTAGATATAGTAAGGCTTCAGACATTGTTTCCATGACAGATTCTCTTTTATTTTTTATTTTAAATCAGTTTATTTGCATTCATTCCCTGTACATCATTACAGTATACAAAATGAGATTTTCCATCCAGAATACACTATATATTGGCTCAATCAAGGATATTACCATACATGTTATCGTCAACAACTAATTTTTCATTTCTTGTTTCTTACATATTTTGCTTCCTCCCTCACCCTTGATTCCCTATTTCTCACCCTCTGCCATTTCCCATCCTCCTCCCACACTATCTGGTATCTATCGCTTTCCATGCCTTTCCCCCCGTTTTATTGACTCATTAAAGATCTTAATTAATCTAAAAACTTTCAATAGCAAGCACAGCTGATATATGCATATTTATGAACACAAGTCTGACTTTAGGCATAAACCTCAGTGAGTAGAATGAACATACTATAAAGTAGCACCTCACTGGGGCTATATAGCTTACTGCAGTCATTAAACAAGTATTTTTAATGCATTTTTAATTTCAAGAAAAAGAGTTTTAGTTTTAATAGATCAAAATAAAAAAATGTTAAGAAAAATTTACGTAAGACTTAAAGCCAGGAAAAAGGTTAGGAATCAATTCAAATAGTAGGTAGATGAACCTATCAACAGTTCAAGAGAAGACAAAAATCCTTAAATCTATAAAACAAAGCATAGAAGGAAATCAGTAATGTTTTCGTCAAAAATCATGAAGTCCTATTTCACCAGTTCAGTCTTGTGTAATCTCTCTCTATTCTATTGAATTTGCAGTGTTACTGTGGTCTGATCTTTCTGTTTAAATTCTGGGTTAACATTCAACTCCAGACTTGTTCTACCTTTAGACTGGCCATTTTCTTGGTTGGTTTTTGTACTCTTATTTCTGTGTGTCCGACTTTAGTTTTCCTGGTATAGCACTCCCTTCGGCACTTCTTGAAGAGCTGGTCTGGTGTTGGTAAATTCTTTCAAATTTTGTTTATCTGAGAATGTTTTTGTCCTTTTTTTCCCATATGAAGGATAAGCTTGCCGGGTATAGTATTCTTGGTTGAAATTGTTTTTCTCTTAACAATTTGAATATATTTTCCTATTCTTTCCTTGCTCACATTGTTTCCAATGAGAGGTCTGATGTTAGCCTGATGGGATATCCTTTGAAAGTAGCTTGACATTTCTCTCTTGCCAATTTTAGTATCTTGTCTTTGTCTGTAGTTTGGGTCAATCTGGCTATGATGTGCCTTGGAGAAGCTCTTCCTGGGTTGATTCTATGTGGGGTCCTTTGTATTTCTTGGGTCTAGATATTTGAATGCCACTCTAGGTTTGGAAAGTTTTCTTCCAGGATTTTACAGAATAGATTATCAATGCCCCTATTAGTTTCTTCACCTTCTGGGATACCAATTATCCAGATGTTTGGGCGTTTATAGTATCTAGTATTATCTGTATATTTTTCTCATTTTGGGGGGTTATTTTCTCAGTCTTTCTGGTGAATTTTTCTAGGTCAGAGGTTCTATCTTCTACATCTGAGATTTGCATGATCTAATCTGCTTTTAATACTTTTAAGAGAGGATTTGATTTCCTGTATTACAGCCTTCATCTCTAACAGTTCCATTAGATTCTTTTTTATGGTTTGTATTTCCTCTTTCCTTCTTTCAGTGTGAGAACTTCCTCACCTCCTGAACTCATCTCTTTTCTCCTGTGTTTTCCGAAGTTCGTTGCCTCTCTTCTCTTGCATCTCTGTTAGCTTTGACACTGTGAATATTTTAAATTCTTTATCTGACATGTCCACGAGTTCCCTTACATTGTCTGTGAAGGATGAGGAGTTATTCTTTTCTCTTAGGGGAGAGATATTTTCTTGGTTTCTCGTATTTCTTGTGTCTCTGCGGTGGCTTCTGGTCATGTGATGGATTATACTTGTTTTTTCCCCCTAGTTTTTGGAATTAAATCAGAACATTCAGCAGCAGCAGGAGGAGGTGACCTACTATTTCTAAGCAGTGCCATATTTCTCCTTTTGTGCAGCAGACTCTATGGAAATTGAGGATTACTCTGACCCTGGTTATACCTGGGAAGCAGGAGGGTGAAGTCTGGGCAGAAGATCTTTAGTTGTCCCAATCCCTGAAAAGGGCCACTCAGAGTTCACATATACATGACTGGTGACTGGCTTGTCCTGGCTAGATCTGGGGGACAGGAGGGTGAAGTCTGGGCAGATCTTCTGTTGTCCTAATCCATGACAGGTTTTCTAACTGGCCTTTTTCTTGGCAGGTTCCTGAGGGAAAAGTGGTTGTTCTTAATTTCCGGTTCATAGACCTGGAGAGTGACAACCTGTGCCGCTATGACTTTGTGGACGTGTATAACGGTCACCCCAACGGCCAGCGCATTGGGCGCTTCTGTGGCACTTTCCGGCCTGGAGCCCTTGTGTCCAGTGGCAACAAGATGATGGTGCAGATGATTTCTGATGCCAACACAGCTGGCAACGGCTTCATGGCCATGTTCTCTGCTGCCGAACCAAACCAAAGAGGTATTTTATATGTATTATTTCCACAATGATGGTGGCTCACAGTTACTGAGCGTCCTCTGTGTCAGGTATTGTTCTAGGCAATTTATATTCTTTGAGCCTCAAGCTTAAGAGCCGTCCTTCTCAAACAGAGAACTAATGAATGCCACCAAATCATCAAGAGACCATAAAACTATTTGTCTCTGGCCAGATCTATGGTTAAGGAGTCTCCCAAGTGGTGAAGGAAGCTGGATCCCATACGGCCCAATCATGACTGGATCCTGGACCCAGCAGCTTGAAAAACACACTGAACACATTAACATGCATGCCCCGAATCCCCATAGGATGGAGAAATGGAGACGGGATTGTGGCACAACCACACACCATTGGGGGTGCCTTTTCTCTCTCCCTGTCTGCCTGTCTCCAGCAAACAAGTACACACACTTTCTAGCAATTTTTCCTTTTTTTTTTTTTTTTTATAGGGCATGAACACTCACCAGAGAGAAACAGAGACAGTGAGAGGGAAAGTGAGAAATCACCCCCCAGGAGGAATGGCCATTCCACCCTCCCTTCTCCTCCATTCTTCTCCTGGAATTTTGGGCATGCGCACACATGCACCTGGTGTGACTTTTCAAGCCACTGTTTGGGGACTCAAACCACAATCGGCCATGTAGGAGTCCAGTACAGTAACTATTATGCCACCTGCTGGCTCCCTAGCATTTTAAAGTCCATGTATGTTCTTGTCACAATTCTAGTTTAGAAAACTTGGAGTAGTGTGGAGCTCGTGTACACACACACACACACAGAGCCATATAAACGCACCTTTATCCCATGTAGGCCCCTCTCTAGAAATAGCCACGGCCAGTGACTCTATACCTTTCTTTGTGTGCTTGCTTATGTCTAGGTGAGTTTACAATAGCTTTATCTTTTTTTTTTTGGGGGGGGGGGGGGGGGGATATTTTTACTATAGGGCACAGGCGTTCTCTGGAGAGACAGAAAGAAATACAAAGAAAGCGAGAAATCACTCCCCCCCCACCCCCCGAGGGATGGCCACGTAGCAATCCCTTCTCCTCCATTCTCCTCTTGGGATCTTGGGCACGCACACACACACGCCCGGCATGAGTTTGAAGCCGCTGGGCCCAGGACCCAAACCACAATCAGCCATGTGAGAGTCCAGCAATGTAACCATTACACCATCTGCTGGTCCCTCTACAATAGCTTTTTAAAAACATAAGTGACATCATAAAATTCATGTGATTTCACAACTGTTTCTTTTCACTTGCTGCCATGTCTCAGGAAATTTTCATTTCAATACGTGTGAGCTCCTAAAGTTAGAACCCTCTACTCTGACAGATAACTGCAGCAGGCAAGATTTAGGGTTTTTCTAGCCTTTTGCCTGAGGGCACTCCCTCATCTGCTCTAGACTTGGAATGTAATGCAGCATTCCTGCCTTGAGAAGTCAAAGGACAGGATCTGGGGCTGAGGGCAGCCAGAATGCTTGACAGGGAGCTACAGAAAAGCCGAGGCACAAAATATCCATATAAAATCTACCTTTGTCTGACAACTAAATTGTATATATATGGGGGAGAGCCCAGCTGGCCTGGCACAAAACCTCAGCCAAGAGATGAAAGAACTGAGTGAAATAACCTCCCTGGGGGTTATTTCTCGCTTTCTGTCTCTCTGTCTACCTGCAGTGATGGTCTACCCGAAGTGAGGGTCTACCTGCTGCCCACTGCCAGCCAGGTGTACTTGGAGTTTGAATCCAGCCAGCTCAACACCTGCTAGAACAAAAATCGCTTTTGATAAGAATACAACAATTTATAGAGTAATGGAACTTTACTACTGCACCTACACACTTGTACCTGTAGACACGAAGAAGTACAATACTCACTTTAAGTCGGTTGGGATGAACTAAAGATTCATATTATAATTCCTAGAGTACCCACTAAAAATCCAAGAGTTATAGCTAAAAGGCAAGATGAAATTAGAATACTGAAATTCTCCAACAAACCCAAAAAAGGCTGAGAGGAATAATGGATTAAAAAAAAAAGAAAAAGAGGAAGACAAATTTTTAAAAATAGCATATGGCACACTAAATCCAAGGATATTAATTATATGTTAAATGTAAAAGATTAAATACTCCCATTAGAAGACAGTTATTCTTTTTTTGGGGGGGTGGGGGAGAGGTATTTTGCTATAGGGCACATGTGAAAGCAAAACAGAAAGACAGAGACAGAGAAATCATCCCCCAGGGGGGATGACCACGCCATGATCCCTTCTCCTCCATTCTCCTCTCGGGATCTTGGGCATGCACGAACATGCGCCCGGCGTGAGATTAAGTCACTTGGTCAGGGACTTGAACTGCTTTCAATTACATGGGAGTCCAGCAACATAGCCATTATGCTCACCCCATGAAATCAATGCATAGTTTTTTTAGAATATACAAGTTTCCATGAACATTTTGAAGACCCCCCCGTATTATTCTACTTATCAATAAAAAGTAATAGAAATCTTTCCAACCTGAATTGCCTTTTAAAAGTGATTATTTTGTGTCAAATACTCCATTAAAGGTAAATATCCCATTAAAGTATATTAATTCCTTTAGTTTCAGTTCAGCTTTTATTTGTCAGCTAAATTCAAGTAACATTAAATTGCAAGCCTCACGTTAAGTAGGACTCTCTATGATCTGTTCAGCCTACGAGCTTTCTGAATGAGCACATAGCCAAATGTTTTGTCCTCACTTGTTCAAAAAAAATGAATAAAGAAGAAGCAACTATGGTCTGACTCTACCCTTTCCCTCGCTCGTGCTGGTATGTCATGTCAGGAGCCACAGAGATTGTGAGTGTGTGTGGGTGTAGCAGATTATGTATGTAATCATATTTTTCAGAGAAAGTTTAAGAGCTCTGCATGGCCTCTGTTTACTGTACCATCGCCTCAGTTCCACATCCTCAACCTCCACATGCTTGCAGTGCTGTAATCTGTAAAATCTGGGCTTTCTTCCATGTTTAATAACTTCAGGGGATCAGTACTGTGGAGGACGCCTCGAAAGACCTTCCGGCTCTTTTAAAACTCCCAATTGGCCAGACCGGGATTACCCTGCAGGAGTCACTTGCGTGTGGCACATTGTAGCCCCAAAGAATCAGGTGAGAGCCCCCGAAAGTGGGAAGAAACCGTGCGTGTTTGACTTGCGTAGTGTGAAGGGCCCAGCTTTGAAGAGCCTCCCATCCTGGGGCTTATCTGAAAGCTAAGGCTGGAGAAGGCCCAGGGATCTCTTCACATGAAGACCCAGATTCAAATCGCCCTTGGTGCTATTTGACTTGCAAACTCATGGTTTTAATTTCCTATTATATCATTGCAGCTTTCAAAACAGTTTTAAAAATACAAATAAGAAGCAAATTCCGTACCACGTTGTTTAACCCTGCAGATGTCATAAGCCTGGGATATGCAGCAGTGACTAACAATGGGAGGATAAGAACCTCCAAGTGCATTTCATGTCAGTGTACCATTTGCTCACTGTGTCCTCATGATCATCATCCTAGTCATCAAATCAAAAACAGTCTGTATGCTTCACCTCAGGAAAGCAAGCCACATCATCCCTGAAATACCAGTGTCTGGTGTGAAAGCTGTTCTGCTTTAGGGTTTTTTTGGTTGCTGTTTAAAATAAAATTTATGGGGAGCAGCAGATGGCATAATGGTTATGTTACTGGACTCGCACGTAGTTGACTGTGGTTCGAGTCCTCGATCCAGCAGCTTAAACCACACCGGGCACATGTGCACACATGACCAAAATCCCGCGAGGAGACTAGAGAAGGGATTGTGGTGTGACCATCCTCCCTGGGGGTTATTTCTCGCTTTCTGTCTCTATGTCTCTCTCTGTCTCTGTGGCGAGTACACACGCCCTATAGCAAAAACCTCTCTCTAATAAATAAATAAATAAAAATAAAATTTATATAGGGGCTTGCCAGTAGCATAGCACTTAAGCCCTGTGCATAAGGAGCTGGAGTCTACATGACTGACTGTGGTTCAAATAGTGGCTTGAAAAACACTCAGGTGCATATGCGTGCATGCCCCACATCCTAACAGAATGGAAAAATGGAGGAGAAAGGATTATGGCATGACCACACCCACTGGGGAGTGCTTTCTCTCTGATGAACACACATACCCTCTATCAATCAATCAATCAATGAGATAAAATCTATACGGGTTCCCCACAAAAAAACTTCGTTGTTTCATTGCTCTAAAATTATCACCAGAGGTCTAGCTTTCCCATATTATTAATAGTTTGAGGCTTTATGAATTTCTACCCTTTCTGGGAACCACTCTGATGTATTAATTGCAGGACAGAGCTTTCCACAGAAATACATGAAACCTACATTGTGGACTCTTTAAAATTACCTCATACAAATTAGTATTATTATAAACACCATAAACTTTAATCCAAACACAAGTTCAGCACAATAGAATTTTTAAAAATGTTTCTAATTTTTTTTATCACTTAGACAAATACTTTTGTCATATGTTGTTTGCATCTTTTCCTTTCTTCTGTTTTTTTTTTTTTTTTCAGTATTGTCAAAGGGCACATGCGAGAAAGTATCCTCTATGGGGCACAGTCATGCCACAATCCATTCTGCATTTCTCCATCCTTTCGGGATATTGGGCACATGCACCCGTACCAAGCACGTTTTTTCAAATGGATTTCTTTTTTAATGATAAATTATTTAGGTAAATATATCATGCAAGCTTGTGATTTGAACACACATATACACACACAGATCACAATCCCAAAGCTCAGCTTTAAAGTTAAAAAAAATATATGTGATAATAAAATATTAAAAATAGGTCTATAAATCTCTTAAATATTTTGTACTTTAAAATAAGATTTAAAAATTACTTTTCCCAAACGTAATAAAAACCCATTTTGTCATTCTCGAAATTACATTGATCATTTTTCTCATTGGCATTTGTAAATTTATTAGGCCAAATCATTTCAACTCAATTATACTTGCAGATTATAGTTCAACATTTTTTTTTCTCATTGTTCTTCCTTTGGGTTATTTAAATTTAAGTTTGAGTTTTGTTTTCTTTTATTTATTTTTTTCTTATTTGCCAGAAGGCACGTGCACTCATGAGTTAGAGACAAAGAGAGAGGGAGGGAAAGCAACCCCCAGTGGGCGTGGTCACGCTGCAATCCCTGGTCTGTTTCTCCATCCTGGTGTGATCTGAGGCACACACACATACACCTGGCATCTTTTCCAACCCTCTGGTGCTGTTGGCCATGTGGGATCCAGCTCACTTACCTACTAGACCATGGGAATGGCCTGAATTTTTAATCATTGTTGTAGTGTTTGAAATCATGGGAAGTTCTATCCAAAGAACATTAAGTCCTAAATAACATATGCAATCTATGAGAATTTTCTATTAGTTACCTCTACTTTCAAATCACAGCTTTCTACTTTATCCTCCTGATTATTTTCTTATTTTTATATTTTATTCCAAAATTTTTATGTGACTAATTTTTAAGTACAGAAAGCTCTGTTTTTAAAAAAAAAAATAACCTGGAAAGCATTTATTAGAAACTGGTGCTAAGTCGGTGTACCTAAAGAGGAAATTTTTTTTTTCTTTTTTTTTTTTGGAGAGGGTTTTGCTATAGGGCACATGCGCTCGCCAGAAAGACAGAGAGAGAGAGAGACAGAAAGCGAGAAATCGCCCCCCAGGGGGGATGGCCACACTGCAATCTCTTCTCCTCCATTCTCTTCTCAGGATCTTGGGCATGCATGCACACGTGCCTGGTGTGAGTTTAAGCCACCGGGGCCAAGACGTGAACCATAGTTGACCACATGGGAATCCAGTGACATAGCCATTACGCTAACTGCTGGTCCCCTAAAGAGGAAATATTTTGATGCTACTTAAAACAGCATTAAGGGGACCAGCAGTTGGCGTAATGGCTATGTCACTGGATTCCCATGTGGTCAACTATGGTTCACGTCTTGGACCCGGTGGCTTAAACTCACACCAGGCACGTGTGCATGCATGCCCAAGATCCTGAGAAGAGAATGGAGGAGAAGGGATTACAACATGGCCATCCCCCGTCATGGGCTCTGACTTTATTAAAGGTATTAATATGTGGATGTGTGGCAATCAGGGTGGATACCACAGTTTACCCAATGTCCCTCATGTCACTCTGCAATGTTGCTGTTATCACCCTCACCAGACAGCTGTGTGAGTTCTCTCTGGCTGATAATTCTGCCTGTCCTACCAGGAATGAGCACTGACCATCTTCCCTGAAGTGGCAGGGAGGCTGCCTAGCCATCTGCTGCTCAGCAAGAGTGGTACCAGCTGTCAGGTGCCATGGATTTTATTTTTTTCTTTAAGAGAGATTTTTGCCATAGGGCACATTCACTCATCAGAGAGACAGAAAGCGAGAAATCGCCCCCCAGGGGGGATGGCCAGGCCACAATCCCTTCTCCTCCATTCTCCTCTTAGGATCTTGGGCATGCATGCACACGCACCTAGCATGTGTTAAGCCTCCGGGTCTGGGACTCGCACCATGGTCGACTGTGGGAGTCCAGTGACATAGCCATTACACCATCTGCTGGTCCCACAGGTGCCATAGATATTAATGAACCCTGTGCAGTTTCCTTTAATTCACATATTGGAGATGTTCTTTAAAAAATCTGTGTAGAAGGAGAATGAATGATTAATTTCCTATTAAATAAAAATTTCCTATTTAATTAAATAAGTCAGGACACTATTATTGGTACTAGTACAAAACATTTTTTAAATACTTAAGATTCTAACACTGGCTTTGTGTATCAATGTGTCTAAGCATCCTCTTAAAAAAATCAACCCCATTCCTATGCTCAGTATGTACACATTTCTTTTTTTTTTTCTTTTTCTTTTTCTTTTTTTTTGAAAGTTTTATTTATTTATTTATTTATTTATTTATTTTGCTGTAGGGCACGTGCGCTCGCCAGAAAGACAGAGACAGAGAAATAGAAAGCAAGAAATCACCCCTCAAGGGAGATGGCCACGTCGCAATCCCTTGTCCTTCATCCTCCTCTTGAGATCTTGGGCACGCATGCACACGCACCCAGCATGAGTTTAAGCCGCTGGGTCTGGGACTCGAACTGTGGTTGACTACATGGGAGTCCAGCGACATAGCCATTACACTAACTGCTGGTCCCAGTATGTCCATATTTCAAACATACGTCAAGAATACATTACATGAATACATGAATATATTATATGACATTAAAATAAAATTCATGGGAACCAGCAGATGACATAATGGTTACATTGCTGGACTCCCATGTAGCCGACTGCAGTTCAAGTCCTGGAACCAGTGGTTTAAACCTCACACCGGGCACGTGTGCATGTGTGACCAAAATTCTGAGAGAAGACTGGAGGAGATCCCACTTCCCTGAATCCCTGGTCTTAAAAATTGACCTCCTTTACATATAATTGGCATGTTAGTTTCCTTCTCTCAAAATAGTAACAACTCTGTGCACTCGTCTTACCCACATCCACACACATGCACGTCCACACACGTGCACAGTATCCGCCTTGACATACACTATTCCAGGGGGCATCAGAGAACGCCTTTTAGTTTCCTTCTAGAGAAGAAAGAAGTTGGCATAATCCCCTCTTTCCCACTCTAACACATACCTAATTATCCAATTACATTTTTTCTCTTTTTAATTTTGTTTTTGAGAGATTTTTGTTACGTAACCATTATGCCACCTGTTGGTCCCTCTTTCTTATTATTTTTTTAATTGCCAGAGGTTTTGCGCACTCACCAGAAAGAAAGGAGAGAAAGAGAGGACCCCGCCCCCACAACGGGGTAGGATGTTCTGCAAGCCTTTTTCTTCTATTCCTCCATCCCATCAGGGTTGTAGGTACGCATGTACACGCACTCGCCCTGGTGTGATTTTCAAGCCACCGGGGCTGGGATTTGGACCATGGTTGGACCATGGTTGGCCATGTGGGATCCGGCTCCTGCTGCACAGTGCTTAATCACCACAGGCCAGCCCTCCTTTCTCTTCCTTTTACTCTCTTTTCTCTCTCCCCAAGCTTTATTGGAGTATATTGATAAGTAAAAAATTATTTATATATATGTATATATATACACATATATAGATATAGATACAGATTTCCAAAAGTTTATGGGAAAATGGAATTAAAATACAGATTTAGGGGTCATCAGGGGGCATAATGGTTAAGGTGCTAGACTCGCACATGACTGACTGTGATTTGAGTCCCAGATCCAGCAGCTGGAAACTCATACCGGGCATGTGTTCATGCGTACCCAAAATCCCGAGAAGAGAATGGAAGAGATGGAGCTGTGGCATGGCCTTTCCTCTCCTGGCAGGGGAGGGTAGTTTCTCACCTTCTCTCTCTGTCTCTCTCTCCAGGAAGGCACATCCTATATCAAAAAATTTCCAAAAATAAAATTAAATAAATAGCTTTATCTATTTATTTTGGTGCAAAAAATTATTGCAAACCATGCAGGTTTTTTTTTTAATAATTTGCATTTTCCAAGAACTTTTTGAAGACTCATGTTTACAGTGTACAAAGTGATTTTTTTTTGTAGTTCTTTTTTTTTTTTTTTGCTATAGGGCACATGCACTTACCAGAAAGAAACAGAGAGAGACAGAGAGACAGAAAGTGAGAAATCACCCCTCAGGGGGGATGGCCACGCCACAATCCCTTCTCCATTCTCCTCTTGGGATCTTGGGCACACACGCACACGCACCCGGTGTGAGTTTAAGCCACCAGGTCCAGGACTTGAACTGCAGTGGACTACATGAGAGTCCAGCAATATAGCCATTACGTCAACTGCTGGTCCCTACAACATGGTTTTTGATGTACATATACATTGTGAAAAGATGACTGCAGTCAAGCTAATTAACATATCCATCACCTCACATCATGAACCTTTTGTGTGTGTACGTGATGAGAACACTTACAATCTACTCTCAGCAGTTTTCAAGTATACCATACTCTGTTTTCAACTGTGGTTATCATGCTGTACAATAGATCTCCGGAACCAAATACAGTCGCAATGTAGCTTCGCTAGAGGTATGTGATGTTACCATACTGGGCCGGACCCATGGCACAGTGGTTAAGCACTGGGCATTGGGAACTGGATTCCACACGGCAACCATGGTTGGAATCCCAGCCCTGGCAGCTCAAGAAACATGCTGGGCATATGTACATGAGTGCCTAAAATCCTGGCAAGATGGAGAAATGGAGGAGGAAAAAGGATTATAGCACGACGACATTCCACTGGGAGGTGCTTTCTCTTTCTCTCTCTCTGTCTCAGTCTCTCTCTCTTTTAATACATGCATCCTCTGACCATTAAAAACTACGTACCCTTCTCGGGACCAGCAGTTCGTGTAATGGCTATGTCGCTGGACTCCCACGTAGTCGACCGCGGTTTGAGTCCCGGACCCGGTGGCTTAAACTCACGCCGGGCGCGTGTGTGCCCAAGATCCCGAGAGGAGAATGGAGGAGAGGGGATTGCGGCGTGACCATTCCCCCTGGAGGGTGATTCCTCACTTTCTGTCTCTCTGTCTGTCTCTGTCTGTTTGGTGAGTGCACGCGCCCTATAGCAAAAACCTCTCCAAAAAAAAAAAAACTACGTACCCTTCTCTTCCCAGCTGTAGATGAACACGGTCAATCTAAGTTTGAGATGACCTCTTGGAATGACTGAAAACAAAAGCAAGGCCCGGCCGTGGTGGTCACAGTGAGTGTCACCACTTGGGAGGTTGGAAGCGACATGGCTTAAGTCCAGTTCCTAGGACAGTCTGAACCTGCTGGGTGCGCTAGCACTTGCCTGTAATCCCAGTTACTTGGGAGGCTGGGGCAGAAGGTCACAACTCGGGAGACTCTGCAAAGTACCTGTCTCTATCCTTCTCTTTCTCCATTCTCCTCTTGGGATCTTGGGCACACACGCACACGCACCCGGTGTGAGTTTAAGCCACCAGGTCCAGGACTTGAACTGCAGTGGACTACATGAGAGTCCAGCAATATAGCCATTACGTCAACTGCTGGTCCCTACAACATGGTTTTTGATGTACATATACATTGTGAAAAGATGACTGCAGTCAAGCTAATTAACATATCCATCACCTCACATCATGAACCTTTTGTGTGTGTACGTGATGAGAACACTTACAATCTACTCTCAGCAGTTTTCAAGTATACCATACTCTGTTTTCAACTGTGGTTATCATGCTGTACAATAGATCTCCGGAACCAAATACAGTCGCAATGTAGCTTCGCTAGAGGTATGTGATGTTACCATACTGGGCCGGACCCATGGCACAGTGGTTAAGCACTGGGCATTGGGAACTGGATTCCACACGGCAACCATGGTTGGAATCCCAGCCCTGGCAGCTCAAGAAACATGCTGGGCATATGTACATGAGTGCCTAAAATCCTGGCAAGATGGAGAAATGGAGGAGGAAAAAGGATTATAGCACGACGACATTCCACTGGGAGGTGCTTTCTCTTTCTCTCTCTCTGTCTCAGTCTCTCTCTCTTTTAATACATGCATCCTCTGACCATTAAAAACTACGTACCCTTCTCGGGACCAGCAGTTCGTGTAATGGCTATGTCGCTGGACTCCCACGTAGTCGACCGCGGTTTGAGTCCCGGACCCGGTGGCTTAAACTCACGCCGGGCGCGTGTGTGCCCAAGATCCCGAGAGGAGAATGGAGGAGAGGGGATTGCGGCGTGACCATTCCCCCTGGAGGGTGATTCCTCACTTTCTGTCTCTCTGTCTGTCTCTGTCTGTTTGGTGAGTGCACGCGCCCTATAGCAAAAACCTCTCCAAAAAAAAAAAAACTACGTACCCTTCTCTTCCCAGCTGTAGATGAACACGGTCAATCTAAGTTTGAGATGACCTCTTGGAATGACTGAAAACAAAAGCAAGGCCCGGCCGTGGTGGTCACAGTGAGTGTCACCACTTGGGAGGTTGGAAGCGACATGGCTTAAGTCCAGTTCCTAGGACAGTCTGAACCTGCTGGGTGCGCTAGCACTTGCCTGTAATCCCAGTTACTTGGGAGGCTGGGGCAGAAGGTCACAACTCGGGAGACTCTGCAAAGTACCTGTCTGCATCCTTCTCTTTCCCCCCCCCCCCCACATTTCTCTCAGAAAGGAAAAAAATAAAGCCACGGAATACCACAGTTTTGACAACTAAATACGTATGCAAGTAACCACCCCATAAGGTGGTGGCTAAGCACTGCAGCGAGGAAGCGGGATCCCACGCGGTCAACCAGGTTTCCAGTTCTGGCTCCAGCCCAGTGGCCTAAACAGCACGCTGGGTGTACACACGTGTGTCCAAGACCTGAGGAGATGGAGACTTCGAGGAAAAAGGATTGCGGCTTGACCAGGCTTCATGGGGGCCGGGGGTCGTTCTCTCTCCCTCTCTCTGAGAGAGAACAAGAAAAAAATCCTTTTAAACAGAATGTGTACATTTTTTACAAAAGAAAATCACATATCCCACGAATCCGGGGAGAAGAATTCCATGTCAGGTTTTTCAACAATGCCACTTTGACACTGCTAATGCTGCACTCTCTCTGCAGCTTATAGAACTGCAGTTTGAGAAGTTCGATGTCGAGCGAGATAACTATTGCCGGTACGATTACGTGGCCGTCTTTAACGGCGGCGAAGTCAACGATGCTAACAGAGTCGGAAAGTATTGCGGTGATAGTCCCCCTGCGTAAGTAGGACCCGTTTATATTAATAGCTTAATGCTTCCGAACTGTTTCTTACTAAATTTTCAAATTACGGGCCAGCAGGTGGCTTGGTGGTTAAGGTACCGACTCCCACATGGGCCGACTGCAGTTCAAGTCCCGCATGTGCGTGCGTGTGTGCTCAAAACCCAGAGAGGAAAGTGGAGGAGAAGGGATTGTGGTGTGACCATCTCTCCTGGGGGAGCAAATTCTCACTTCGCCTCTCTGGGTGTCTCCAGCAAGTACATGTACCCTATGGCAAAAAGGAAAATTCCTGATTACATTTATTTCTTGGATGACTTATATTGTTGTGGTTTTATACTAATTGAGTTCTATTATAATTGAGTCCCATACTGTATCACTCATAAAGAATAGCCAACTTAGAAACTGAGGCAACATTCACAAGATTTGGGGGTCTAAACCTAGGATTGGGTCCCTGAGAGAGATTGATTCGCTGAACTCAGATAACTTGTTTAACTTTTTTCTTTTTCTTTTTTTGAGAGGATTCTTGCTCTCACTAGAGAGAGATGGGGCTGGTCATGAGGAGAGTGAGAAAGCATCCCCGTGGGGAATGGTCATGCAGCTCTCCTTTCTCCGTCTCTCCTTCCCTTTGGAGTTCTGGGCACGCACACGCCGCCCATGACGACAGACTGGGACAGCTCACATGAAGCCCAGTGCCTCGCTGAGAAGCCCTCAGTGCCCATTCGCTACTGGCCGTCGTATTTAGCAGATTACAACTTTCAGCTTTTTAATGTTTTCACCTCTCAGTTTAATCAAATGCTAACCTGTTATTAGAGATTAATGGAAAGCTAGAAATCGTTGACATATTCCGAGAGGTAACACTTAAACTTTTAAAAGATCCATATATATTTGGGCCAGGTGGTGGCACAGTGGAAACACAGCTGGCCCGGCATGAGAAAGGTGCTGGGTTCAGGTCCCAGGACCGCCCGAGCACACTGCGAAGCGCAGCAGACATGAACGAGCCTGTCTGTGGGCTGGCGAGACGGGGTGGGTCGCTGTGTGAAGGCTCTGCTGAGGCTGCCTCACTGTCTCTCGTGGAAGGAGTACAGAAACAATTCACACACACGCACGCACATGTTTGTATGTATGCGTATAGGCATGTATGTTTAAAAACATATTTTTCATTTTAGGCCAATTGTATCTGCAAAAAATGAGCTTCTTATTCAGTTTTTATCAGACTTAAGTTTAACCGCGGATGGATTTATTGGTCACTACAAATTCAGGCCAAAAAAACTGCCTACGACTACAGCGTTACCTGTTACCACCACGTTCCCTGTAACTACAGGTAAGTTTTTCTGTTTAAAAGTTTGTGCAGAAACTTTAGGAGTATTAGAAGAACTCCTTCTGTGGAACCAGCAGATGGCATAATAGTTATGTTGCCAGACTTCCACATGGCCAACTCCGGTTCAAGTCCCAGACCTGGCAGCTTGAAACTCACACCAGGCACATGGGTGTGCATGTCCAAAATTCCAAGAGGAGGATGAGGTGCCCAAGATCCTGAGAAGAGAATGGAGGAGAAGAGACTGCGGTGTGGCCATCCCCCTGGGGGAGGGTTTCTCACTTCCTGTCTATTTCTGTCTCTCCAGTGAGTGCACACACCCTATAGCAAAAATCTCCCTTAAAATAAAAAATAAAAAAAGGAAGACAAGTCCTTCTGAAATAGGAAAAAACTAAATAAGAGGAGGATAATTCAAACTAAAATAAATTAAATAGAATGAAAACTTATGTAAGAAATGGCCTGACTCCATTAGCGAAAGGTATAGGGTATAAGAATGCTTAGAAGCTAATAGTCTGTCACAAAGAAAATTACGACCTGTTAAAAATTACTGGGAAGCCTGTTATAAGCACGGATCAGTGTAAGCCCCAGCTTCCTTTGCTGACACTAACAAACTGTGGTTTTGTTTTTATTACACAGAATTGTGGTATTTTTAGGTTAAAGTTCTGGAACCAATTTTCACACCTGCCAGTACTAGAGGGATTTTTTTCTTCTTCTTCTCAGCAAAATATCACATAAAGTATGAATATTTTTTCGAACTGGAGTAAATCAAAACATTCTACATATTACAGAAGTTGGTTGGGGACCTCCAGCCTGGGGCATGGTCAAGGCCATAGAGGATAGGGGTCGGGTTCTGTATCTCTATCTCCTACCAGAGCTAGTCACTGGGATTTCAGGCCTCAGATCCGGATATCCAAATCCAGGGAGGAGGAAAAGAAGTGGGCAGGAAAGATCAGCATGAAGACATGAAATGGGCTGAGATAAACCCAGCTTTCTTCCTTTCCATTTCAGCCAAGACAGGGCTGTTCTGAAACCGGGCGGGCTCGCCTAGCTGATTTTCTTGAGCGTGCCACAAGAGGGCCACCTTGTGGCCGGGACGCGTACTGCCTAGTGCTGGTGCGGTGTTTTCTCCAGCTGGTCTGCGGGCCCTGGTGTTCTTACTCTTACAGTGAATCGTCTGGTCACACCCATGGCGCTAGAAGCTCTGCAGATGTCATCTTCATCCTGAACTTTCTCTGACATCGCAAACATGAATTTGTGATGCTCTCCTACACGTTTTGCTACTGCTAGACCTTTAAATGAAACCCTCTCAAGCCCAACTTGTTTTCCTCATGCTTGGTTCTGCCTCAAAGCTGCTTCTCCACCTGCTGTCCCAGGCATGTCCACAGCATCAGTAACCACACTTGGGGGGTCATCTTTGACCTCCTCTATCACACATCCCCACGACATGCCCCCTACCACCACACAGAGCAGACTGTGTCATTCTCTGGTGAACTTCATTATTGAATAGCGAACAGCTGTGCTAGCTCATGTGGCGCTAAGACCGAGCCCTTGAAACGTGGCTCTGCGTGCCGAGCCACACAGAAGGCTGCAGGTTCATGTCCTAAAGTACGCCAGGCACACGCCAGCCAAGAAATAAGTGAATAAAATTAAAAAAAAAAATAGGAGCTAGCTGGTGGTATGATGGTGAAGGTGGCTGGACCCCACATGGCCAACTGTGTGGTTCAAGTCCTGAACCTGGTAGCTTGAGAAACACAGAGGGCATATATGCTTGCATGCCCAACAATTCTGAAAGAAGATGAAGGCGATGAGATTGTGGCATGACTACGGGGGCGCTTTCTCACTTCCCTTCTCTATGTCTCTCTCACACATGCACCCTCTAGCAAATTTTAAAAAGAGAGAGAGAGAAAGTGCCCAGAGAGAGATGTGGGCAAAAGAAAAAGAGGGTCTGGTATTAAATCTTTAGAAACCCCCAACTTCTCATTTGCTTTTTCTTAAAAAAAAAAAAAAAAAAAAAGCCAAAAAAACCTCTTTACAGAGAGACAGAGGTGGAGAGGGAGAAAGCACCACAATCCCTTGGTCACAAGGGTTTGATCACCCCATAGTCCCTTCTCCATTTCTTCATCCTGTCAGGATTTGGGGCACCTGGCGTGTTTTCCAAACCACCAGTTCTGAGACTTGAACGGCACAGTTGACCACATGGCCTCTAGTCTCCTGTAAGCACCAAGTCACAGGCCAGCCCTAGAAATACCATTTTTTTTAAAGAGGAGGTTATGCTGGCGAGGGAGACTCAAAAGGAATGACCAGGAAAGAGAGGAAAGCCAGGAGCTATGTGCCATGGGAGCCATGGAAAAGAAGGGAGTGGTCAGTGAGTCAAGTGGTGGTGAGACTACAGTAAGAGAGGCCTGAAATGTTTCCATGTGATTTTTGTGGCATGAAGGCTACTGGAAACCTGAGCAAGAGTTACAGACTGGTCAGGCAGAAGCCAGACAGAGTCGCCTGAAGGATGGGGAATAAGGTGAAGGAAGTGAGATAATTCCAGCAACTTAGTCCATGGTTTGGCCCCAAAGAAGGGAGAGGGGGACAGGCCCCATAACCTAATGGTTAAAAGAACCAAATATCACATGGCTAACCAAGGCTCTAACTCCAGTCCTGTCATGTTGAAAAACACACATATCATGTACGTCCAGAATTCCAACAAGATGGAGAAATGAAGAAGGGATTGTGGCATGAGCGTGCCCTACTGGGGGTATTCTCTCTCTCTCTCTCTCTCTCTCTGTTTCTCTCTCTGGTGAGTACATGCATCCATTAGGAATTTAAAAAAGAAGAAGAGAGAAAGAAAGGAGAGGCCTTGAGAATTCTTGCTTCATCAGACAGGGAAAACCACTGACGCTACTACTTTGGACTCAATTAATTAGTTGGATTTAGTGCCAAGGCGCGCTCTCAGCTCCTAAAACAATGATATAACTCCCTCTAAATGTTTTTCTGAGTTCTTGTTCTTTTTAAACAAAAATATCATTTAAGTTATTATGTGTATTTTAACATACTAAATTGTATATGTTCTAATATTATAATTCGCCTGAGATCCTTATCAGAGTTAAGTAGAGGTACAAGTGAAATTAAGGAAATGAATAATAAATTCTCAGAGGAGTTGGCAGGCCATATTAGAAGATATGAATGATATTACAGATATTTATTTACACAAGTACAATTCTGTTGTTTCATTTAGCTCTTCCAAACATATTGCCACACATAAGGGAATGATCGGTGAATATTTTCAGAACATTTTTAAGAAAAGAAGGATTATTTTCATTTTGTTAACCCAAGGTTTCTCCGCTTGGCACTGTTTACATTTTGGGCCAGATAATTCTCTGTTGTGGGGGATGGCCTGTTCACTAAATGCCAGGAGCGCCCCCTAGTTGACACAACCAAAAATGTTTCCAGATATTGCCATAATGTTCATGTTTCGGGCAGAACTCCCCCAAGTTGGGGGCCACTGCATCTATTTAGTTTTACTTGCTTTTTTTAAAAAGACTTTTAAATTTTATTTAATTCCATTTGTTATTTTTTAATTTGACTAGAGAGAGAGAAAGGAAAGAGAGAAAGCAACCTGCCTGCCAGGTCTGGGACTCGGACCATGGTCAGCCATGTAGGAATCCACCACTTTTAACTACCATGCCACCCGCTGGCCCCCGTTTTACTTTTATTTATTTATTTACTTTTTATTATTTATTTTTTGTTTTTTGTTTGTTTTTGGAGAGATTTTCGCTATAGGGCGCGTGCGCTCGCCAGACAGACAGAGAGAGACAGAGAGACAGAAAGCGAGAAATCACCCCCCAGGGGGGATGGTCACGCCGCAATCCCTTCTCCTCCATTCTCCTCTCGGGATCTTGGGCACGCACGCACACGCGCCCGGCGTGAGTTTTAAGCCACCAGGTCCGGGACGTGAACCGCGGTCGACTACGTGGGAGTCCAGCGACATAGCCATTACGCTAACTGCTGGTTCCCTATTTATCTATTTTTTGGAGAGGTTTTTGCTATAGGGTGTGTGCGGTTGCCAGAAACACATAGACAGAGAGAAAGAAAGCAAGAAATCACTCCCCCCCCACCCCCGGAGGGATAGCCATGCTGCAATCCCTTCTCCATTCTCCTCTCAGAATCCTGGGTATACACGCACACATGCCCAGTGTGAATTTAAGCCGGGTCCGGGACTCGAACAGCTGGGAGTCCAGTGACATAGCCATTACACCAACTGCTGGTTCCTACGTTTAAATTTGTGTACTACTTAGTTCTTAAGGTCCTTATAGACAATGCCGGGTTCAAAATAAAGACTCAGTGATGGGCTGCATGTACTCACAGATGTAACACTTTACACCTGAGCCGCATTTCTAAGATCCGTGCTCGTTGCATTTGGGCAACCGCGTATTGTTCAATGTACCAAGACAGCTTTTTCTTTCCTCAGGGGAACACCATGGGATCCCTTTTCCAAAATGAAGAATTAGCCCATATATTATGAGCTTAGATTTGTCACACTGGCTTTTTCTAAGCAGGGCACACAGAGTCTATTTTTAGTTCTCATGTTAGTTTTCTATAAAGAAAGGAGAGAACAGGGCTAAATTTGGATTATCTTTGATCTCAGGTTTCAAATTCAGTAGAGGATATTGAGTTGCCCTGAGGAAACTAGAGCAGTAGTTGGTAGCATGAAGAATTTCTCTTTCATGGTTTTTAATTTTTCCGTTGCAGTGATAGATCGGTGACTCAGGGGACTACATGGAAATTTTCAGTAGCTTCAGATCTAAACATCAATTAGACTTGAATTCATTTTCCTGCAGCTTATGTCTTTCTTCTTTGCATTAAGGTATAAAACCCACCGTGGCCCTGTGTCAGCAAAAGTGTAGACGGACGGGGACTCTGGAGAGCAATTACTGTTCGAGTAACTTTGGTAAGGAAAAAAAAACACCAGTCCTTTCTGTTTAATCAGAAACTTGAGACTGCATGCTTAATCTCAAAGGAATTCCTGTGAATTTCATGGTGAAGGGCTAGTAACACTGCTCATTTACCCAAAATAACATTCCCCTCTGCGTCAGGGTATGCTGACTTGTACTATCTGAATTATTCCATTTCGTCAGTGAGAAAACCTGTCTTCAGAAAATGTGCTTTTTGTCCACACATAGAAATCATTTCATTCTTGGCACACAAGACGGCTACTCTTATGTATTCTAGTTCTGACCAAATCTGCATACTTTTTCCTCAGATATGTTTTCACGTATATTTTCACATATCCGTAAGTCAACTTAAGCAAATTAGAAACATGCCATTCAGAAGCTGGCCTTTCTCAAAAGAAATACAGGTATTTCCTCTGTAGTGTCCTTTAAAAGTACTAGATCAAAACTTGGAAATCTGAAGTGTATTTGGAAACTCTTACAAATTGAAACCTGATGAGGTATTAAGGACTCAGACTTCCTAAAAGCACTTTCCAATGAAAAAAATTGCACTATTGTGAAAACTACTTAAGAATGCTACTATATTCATTATGTTTTGTTTTTGTTTTTGTTTTTTTTGAGAGCGATTTTTGCTATAGGGCACATGCACATGCTGGAGAGAAAGAGAAACAGAAAGCGAGAAATCCCGGGGCCGGGAGGTGGCCATGCCGCAATCATTTCTCCTCCATTCTCTCCTCAGGATTTTGGGCACGCATGTACATGCGCATGAGTTTTAAGCCATCAGGTGTGGGACTTGAACCACTGTCAGCTACGTGAAAGTCCAGTGACATAACCATTACACCATCTGCTGGTCCCGATGTTTTATTTATTTATTTTTTGAGAGTTTGCTATAGGGCGCATGCGCTCTCCAGAAAGACAGAGAGAGACGAAGAGATAGAAAGCAAGAAATCACCCTCCAGGGGGGATGGCCATGCCACAATCCCTTCTCCTCCGTTCACCTCTTGGGATCTTGCGCATACACGCACATGCGCCTGGCGTGAGTTTAAGCCACCGGTCCGGGACTTGAACCACGGTCGGCTACATGGGAGTCCAGCGACATAGCCATTATGCCAACTGCTGGTCCCGATGTTGGTTATTTTCAAAAGCAGCTTACAAGAAATAATAGGTGACCTAAAACAGAGCCTCTCCAGAGGGGCTTTCCTTCCTTTCCTGGCCATGCAGTGACAAGCGACATGAGCTGCATGAACTTTGGTGAAGGTGAGAAGACACTGGAGAGTCTGGGCCCAAAATCCTACCAGAGTTTGGAAGCTGAAATTCTAATAACAGGCTTAAAAATGAAAACAAATGACACCGGGGCTGCTCTATCCAGTTCGGTCCTCTGCAGAATGTACTTCAGGAAATCTACCTCCCTCTTTGGGATCCCCGACCCCACTTGGCTACAGACTGCCATTATGCAGGGAACACACATCACCAGGAATCAAAAGAGGGCCTGATAAGAATTCTGCTTTCTCGGACTAGCAGGTGGCATGGTGGTTAAAGTACCAGACTCCAACATGGCCTACCACGGTTTGAGTCCCAGACCTGGTGATTTGCTTTTTCATTTTCCTCTCTCTTTCTGTCTCTCTCCAGTGAGTGCAAATTCCCTGTAGCAAATTGAAAAAAATAAATAAAATTAAGTATATAATTCTCTTTTTTTAAGAATTATTTAATTTTATTTATTCATTCAATCATTTTCATTTGACCAGAGAAAGATAGACACACAGAGAGAAGGAAAGTGAGAAAGCAAGCCACCAGGTCTAGGATTTGAATCGTGTTCGGCCACGTGGGAGTGTCCAGTGCCTTAACCACCATATCATCTACTGACCCATAAATAATTCTTTTTTTTAATAATTATTTAATTTCATTTGTTATTATTAATTTTTAATTTGACCAGACAGAGACAAAGAGAGAAAGAGAGAGAAAGGGAAAGCAGGAAACCAAGCTGCCAGGACTCAAATTGCGGTCATTCATATGGGAATCCAGTGCCTTTAACCACCTTGCCACCTGCTGGCCCCCATCTCATAAATAATTCTTTAAAAAAAAAAAAAAATTCTGCTTTCCTGTGCTCACTTCATCCTGAAGGGTTCATACATATTAGCCACATCCAAAACTTGATTTTTTCCTTTGATCATGACTCACATGGAAAATGACCACATACTACCACCAGTGGCCCCTTGGTTAGCAGAGTTGGTAACGTGGCCCTGGGGACAGTTTTTGGTTGTCACAATAACTGGGGAGTGCTACTGGTTTTTCTGGGCAGACACAAAACTTCTGAAACAAGTCTTTTTTTTTTTTTTTTAAAGACAGAGACAGAGAGACAGGAAGCGAGAAATCACTCCCCAGTGGGGATGGCCATGCCGCAATCCCCCCTCCTCTATTCTCCCTGGGATCCCAGGCACACATGCACACGCTCCCGGTGTGAGTTTAAGCCACCAGGTCCAGGACTTGGACTAGGTCGACTACATGGGAGTCCAACAACATAGCCATTATGCCAACTGTTGGTCCCATTAAAAAAAGTCATTTAATGCAAGCCCTACACCACAAGAAAATTGTACCCCCCCAGCACCCCAAAATGCAAAGGCATCCCTTTGTGGACAGTAGCATCTCTATCCTATGGTTCAGAAGACTATTTTCTGAGTGTTACAAGAGAGGGGGAAAAAAAGAGTTACATAATAAAAATTAACTAAATTTTGCTGGATTTTTTTTTTAAGCAAGAAAATATTTTGGGGTCATTAGGTGGCATAGTGATTAAGGCACTGGACTCCCACATGGTCGGCCACAGTTGGAGTCCCAGACCTGGCAACTTGCTTTCTCACTCTTCGCTTCTCTGCATGTGCCCTGTGGCAAATTTTAAAATAATAATGGTAAATAAAATAAAATAAATAATTTCTTAAAAAAATAAAATGTTTTAAAGTCTACCTCAGTTCTGTATTTGACTTGTTACATCAGATAAACAGGGTGGATAATAGAATGTGAAAGACCCAGAAAAAGACAGATTTCCTGGTAATAAGAGATGGGGCCCATGGGATGAACAAAGTTGGAGGAGAGAGGAAGGCTCAACAGAGGCAGAAGGAAGGGGACACAGAAAAGTAGACACTCGCAAAGACAGACTCTGATCCTAGTGGCTCACCCCCACGCAGCCTGTTAGTACAGTATCACCTCTAAAATTCAAGGTCTTCTTGAGTATTCACAGGCTCATAAGTCTCTCCCTCGTTTGGCAATTCACACACATGCTGGATAAAACATCTTTTTAATTTTCAGATAAAACATTTTAAAGAGTCCTCATCCCACCAATAGACAGCAAAGAGGCAAATGTTTAGATTTCTCTCCTACTTACCAATACCCGACAACCAGGATAACATTACAGCCCAGAGGTCCCTGTCTCCGACCTGAATTTTGCTGGCTAATAAAATTTGAGAGCTCTTGTAAGGCCTTTCCTTTAACGTTAAATGCCTGCATTGGAACCAGCAGGTGGCGTGGTGGGTAAGGCACTGGACTCTCACATGGCTGTCTGCTGTTTGAGTTGGGAACCTGGCGGCTTGCTTTCTCATTTTCTGTCTCTTTCTCTCTTTCTCGTGCATGCACATGCATGTGCCCCTCTAGAAAATTTTAAACATAATGATAATAAAAATAAAAGAATTAAATAATTATTTTTTTAAAAAATGCCTACATTTGCCTTCACTGTCACATGGTCTCAAAAATGTTTTCTTCTGCAGTGTTAGCCGGCACTGTTATAACCACCACTGTGCGAGGTGGGAGTTTGCATGCCACGGTCTCAGTCATCAACATCTATAAAGAGGGAAATCTGGCCATCCAGCAGGCCGGCAAGAACATGAGTGCCAAGATCATCGTGGTCTGCAAGCAGTGCCCTCTCCTCCGAAGAGGTAAGGAAGGGGGGAATGTAACCTGTCTTCTAGGTGAGCTCAGAGACAGACAAGGGAATGCCAGTCTCTGAGCACGTCAGGGATCGGTCCATGCCATGGCAGATCTGGAGAAGTCAAACCAGGACTAAGATATTCCCTACTTCTGGTAGAGCAGGAAGTCCTTTGGAATCAGGGAGAATCGGGCTGTCATCCCAGCTCTCGTAATTTGCTGAAGAAGGAGTGGAAATGATGAATGAGTCCAAGAAGCATTTGAAATGTAATCAACAGGGAATAGAAATAGAGTGATCAGTTGAAGGGAGAGCTCATTGGGGCTGTTGCACTTAAGATGCCAACACTGTGTTTAGAAGAAAACGTCTAGCGAACAACACGAAATGCAGAGCCGAAGTTCAGGTGAGAGAAGTATATCTGGGCCAGAATGAAAGATTTGGGAATCATTTGCAGAAATAGGATCATTCAGTCTACAGATGGGAATGAGTTTATTGAGAGAAATTATGGAAGAAGGAAAATTATCTCAGAGATCGAGGCACATGACTTAAAAAATATTCAGATGTGGCAAGTTTTTTAACTTAGAAAAGGAATATATATCTTGTAATACATATCTTTCTTCCAGAACGTCTCTAGCCATGTAAAGCATAGGCGTACACATTTAGATAAATGGGGTGCTGTTTTATATGTCCTGCCACAGTTTTTCCTCTATCTAAGGTATATGTAGACGTTTTTCTAGAGCTGCACAATAGAATCCTCTCTCTCTCTCTGGAATGATAATGATGCCCCATGTTCCACTCTGTGATATTTGATGATTTCTTGGTCCAACCTCAGCTCCTTCCTTTCCTTAGTCTAATCACAACTAAACCAAACCGAGCCACACACACAGAGAAACGAAGACTATCCACTGTAAGAACGCGTTCCTGGGGCCGCCCTGTCGTGCAGTGGTTAGGCCCCGTATACAGGAGCCAGATCTCACTTGGCTGACTGCAGTTTGAATCTGGCCCTGACAGCCTAAAAAACACACTGGGCACGTGTGTGTGGATGCCCAAACCCTAATGGGTTGGCGAAATCAAGGAGAACACATTGCAGAGAGTATAACCACACGTCATTGGGAACTGTTTTCTCTCTTTCTCTCACACACACATGCCCTCTGGCAATAAAAATGTTTTAAAAATATACAGGAAGATTAGAAAGAAAAAGGAAGAACCAGCGTTCTAAAAGTTAATTTATTTTAAAAAAGGAAAAGGAAAGAAAGCTTTACTGTGAATTCAGATTGCTCGGCGGCCTCACACACTGACACTCCGGATGGAATGGCAAAAGCTCTATAAACGATAAACATTTCTTCCCAGAATGACAGGAACAGAAGATACTGGATGTGGAGATTCTGTGAGTTCTCCTAGTAACCTTAGCAGTCGAGCCTGAGGATGGCACTCACACGCCCAGCCTACTAAGCTTTCACGAGCTCAGGATCACTATGATGACAATGCTGGTCTACAGAGGAAGGGGTACACAAGGAAGCACACTTATTTTGTGATACACAGGGGAAAGGGGATAGAAGAGGGTGCAGTGCACACCTCCTTTATGACATTTTCTAAGACAAAATAAATTTGCAGGGCTGGACCCAATAAACTCAGTGCAGGCCCCAGCCCGGGCCTAACAGCCAGATGCCCTAATGTCTAGAAAATAGAATAACAAATATAAGTACTTTTTATACTTTTTTTTTTGGCAAGGGACTCAATGAATGTAGTAAGTCTGTGATCCGTTCATTTCCTCAAGACACTTGCATCATATAAATGCTTGAGATGCTGATAAAAGTTCAACCACAGCAGAGAATAGGTCATTAGTTAGTTGCCAAATGCCAAGGACACCTGGGACCTTGAGAGCTCACGTGAACAACGGAGTTCTGGAGGCCCTTGAAGATGGGGAGCCCTTCCGTTAATGCAGTACATTGTGTACAATGCATCCGGTAACCATACCAGGCCAACACTGCTGACCAGGACGTGACTGACCTACCTACCCCATCTGGTCGCAGTTTATCTTTTAGGTAATAAGAGTCTTTCTTTTTAAAGAGAGATTTTTGCCAGAGACAGAGAGAGAGAGAGACAGAGACAGAAAACGAGATATCAACCCCCAGAGGGGATGGCCATGCCACAATCCCTTCTCCTCCATTCTCCTTCCAGGATTTTGGGCAAACACACACATGCTCCTGGCATGAGTTTAAGCTATTGGGTCTGGGATTTGAACTGAGGTTGACTACTTAGGAGTCCAGCAATGTAACCATAATGCCATCTGCTGGTCCCAGGTGAATCTCTTTTTTTTTGGAGAGGTTTTTGCTATAGGGCGCATGCACTCACCAGAAAGACAAGAGAGAGACAGTGACAGAAAGCGAGAAATCACCCCCCAGGGAACATGGCCATGCTGCAATCCCTTCTCCTCCATTCTCCTCTCAGGATCTTGGGCATGCATACACACGTGCCCGGTATGAGTTTAAGCCAACGGGTCCAAGACTCGAACCATGGTCGACTATATGGGAGTCCAGTGACATAGCCATTACGCCAACTGCTGGTCCCCCAGGTGATGAGCCTTAAACCAGATTTTATCTAATGAAATACATGTATAATTATATCATTTAGAGACAAAAGCATTTATCCAAAGGTAAGTTACAGTCTAAGTTGTTTCAAACAACACACCCAGAGAAAAAGACTAACGTCTATATTCTCTTTCTTTATTTAGGTCTAAATTACATTATTATGGGCCAGGTGGGTGAAGATGGGCGAGGCAAAATCATGCCAAACAGCTTTATCATGATGTTCAAGACCAAGAATCAGAAGCTCCTAAATGCCTTAAAAAACAAGCAATGTTAATGGTGAACTGTGTTCGTTGAAGCTGCATTCTGTTATTGCCTTTGAAAGATCTATTTTCCTTCAGTAGAAAAAGAAACATAAAATTAAATACTGAGCATTCTGAAAAATGGACTAATGTACTCTTCACATGATGTGGGTGTGAGACCTTCAGTATCAGTGAGAAGTTCCGTGCCTGGGCTGAATGGAGCAGATATCCAATTGAAAACCTGCCGACTTAGTGTGGTGATTGGAAACTAAGGGTATCAAGAGTTGACAACTTGGAAGCGATTTATTTATACAACTCTGTAAGAGGATATTTTAAGAATTGAGTTGTGTGATGATATAAAGGATTTTATAAGTGCAATATTTATAGTTGTATTTGGTTTACCTTCAAACATTTGCTCTGAGGTGTTAGACTCTTCTCTTGCATTTTTAGAAGCAATACTTAATAAAATATTTTTAAATGATTACATACAAGCCATTAAACTTGTGTTTATAGAATAATGCCATCTGCTGGTCCCAGGTGAATCTCTTTTTTTTTGGAGAGGTTTTTGCTATAGGGCGCATGCACTCACCAGAAAGACAAGAGAGAGACAGTGACAGAAAGCGAGAAATCACCCCCCAGGGAACATGGCCATGCTGCAATCCCTTCTCCTCCATTCTCCTCTCAGGATCTTGGGCATGCATACACACGTGCCCGGTATGAGTTTAAGCCAACGGGTCCAAGACTCGAACCATGGTCGACTATATGGGAGTCCAGTGACATAGCCATTACGCCAACTGCTGGTCCCCCAGGTGATGAGCCTTAAACCAGATTTTATCTAATGAAATACATGTATAATTATATCATTTAGAGACAAAAGCATTTATCCAAAGGTAAGTTACAGTCTAAGTTGTTTCAAACAACACACCCAGAGAAAAAGACTAACGTCTATATTCTCTTTCTTTATTTAGGTCTAAATTACATTATTATGGGCCAGGTGGGTGAAGATGGGCGAGGCAAAATCATGCCAAACAGCTTTATCATGATGTTCAAGACCAAGAATCAGAAGCTCCTAAATGCCTTAAAAAACAAGCAATGTTAATGGTGAACTGTGTTCGTTGAAGCTGCATTCTGTTATTGCCTTTGAAAGATCTATTTTCCTTCAGTAGAAAAAGAAACATAAAATTAAATACTGAGCATTCTGAAAAATGGACTAATGTACTCTTCACATGATGTGGGTGTGAGACCTTCAGTATCAGTGAGAAGTTCCGTGCCTGGGCTGAATGGAGCAGATATCCAATTGAAAACCTGCCGACTTAGTGTGGTGATTGGAAACTAAGGGTATCAAGAGTTGACAACTTGGAAGCGATTTATTTATACAACTCTGTAAGAGGATATTTTAAGAATTGAGTTGTGTGATGATATAAAGGATTTTATAAGTGCAATATTTATAGTTGTATTTGGTTTACCTTCAAACATTTGCTCTGAGGTGTTAGACTCTTCTCTTGCATTTTTAGAAGCAATACTTAATAAAATATTTTTAAATGATTACAAAAAAGCCATTAAACTTGTGTTTATAGAGTGGGACACTGGAACAAATACTCCGTTTTTATGATAACAGTATTGTTATTTACATATTAGGTTGTCTTTGTATCAATATACTATTTACTAAGGGTTAGCATTCCAAGAATTTCAGGGATTAAATTAATCAATGATGTCAATAGACTATAATTCTTCTCTCTCTAGAAGCAGAAGCAGAAAGTATTAGAGCTAGAATGGTGTCCCTCGGGGATCTAGTCCAAACTCCTTCATTTTGTAATTGAAAAGGAAACGCGTTTATTTGCTGACTTGCCCAGAGCAAACATCTCCTAGGTGACAGTGCAATCACATTCAAGAGTCCTAATTCCAGACCCGCAGCCCTCCTTACGCAGAGGAAACCCTCTGATTCAAATGTTAGCACTAAGTACTAGTACTTAGGCCCTATTTGGTAGCCTAAATAATAGCTATTTTATACAAACTGGAATTAAAAGTTAGTCTGATATTCCTGGTCCGTTCATCCTCAATTAACTGGGTCAGGCTGTATGAGCCAAGATGCATTCTGCCATTGCCTTTTAAAAGTCTCTGCTCCTCAGTAGTGGAAGCATTGTGAAAACACTCCCACAGTTCACGTCGAGCTGAGCTGCTTAAACCACAGCCATTCCTGCCATGGGTGTGGCGACCAGCCCTCCCAGTTTGCTGGCCAGGGAGTGTAGGCTAGAGGACAGCCATCCCTAGTCAATGAAGGTAGAAACATTAGGGATGGACAAAGACTTGGATCACAAGGTCTCCCATGGTAATAGCAAGTTTAGAAATAAAAGAAAATATTCTTTTGAGGAGAAAATAATTCCTAACCCTAGGGGTGACTGGATATTTTAAGGGCAATGAAGTAGAAGTTCAAAAGAATAAACTCATAAAAAAAAATTATAATCTTGAATGTTTACATTATAAAAGAGGGTAGATTTGAACTTGTGAATGATACAAATTAGGAAATTAGTCAAAGAAGAGCAGAATAAACTTTTAAAAGGTAGAAGGAAATAAGCGTAGTGCTGAAATTGAGTAAAATAGTAATCATAAATAACAGAAAAGTCACGAAAGGAAAAGTTGGTTTTTTAAAATAACTAATATAATTAACAAAACTCTGATGGGATAAAGCAAGAAAAGAAGTAAAAAGGATCACTAAACAAATCTATTTAGGAATGAAATTTCTATGGATTTCACAGAATCTTAAAAGGTAGTGGGTAAAGGTTAAGGCTCTAGAGCTCACATGGCCAATTCCATGGTTAAAGTCCCAGACCCGGAGGCTTGAAAATCATACCAGGTGCATGTGTGCACCCAAAATCCCAAGGAGAGAATAGAGAAGGGACTGTGACATGGCCATCTCTCCTGGGGGTGATTTCTCACTTTGGCTCTCTGTCGCCACCAAACGCACATGCCCAATAGCAAAAACAAAACAAGTAGTAAGAGAATGTTTTTACTCACCTTTTACCCATAGATTTGAAAACTTAGCCGGAGCAAGTTCCTGCGGATCAGGAGGGACTTATCAGCACAGATTGGAGTGGAAGTAGAATATCTAATTAGTACTGTAACCATTAAAGAAATTCAATCAATAGTTTAAAATTGCTCCTCAAATAAAAATCTAGTCCCAGGTAAATTTATCTAAAAGATCTACCAGATATTGAAGGGCCAGATATCACCAGTGCAACATAAACTAGGCCAGAGCATAAGCAAAGAAGGAACATTTAGCAGTTCTATGACATTACTACAATCTTACTACCAAAACCACAGCAGAATAAGGAAAATGTCCAGCCTGATTTCACCTATGAACACAGGTACAAAATAATATCAAACAAAATCTAGCAAACAAAGCAGATGGTAATTAAGTTGGGTTTATTTATGCATGGTTGATTTGACCTTAGAAAATCAATGAACATACTTCACCGCATGGACCGGTCTGCAGTGGATAGCCAGGGAGTCGGAGGTGCAACCAAACATTCCGTGCACCGACCTCTCACAGTAGGACTATCTTCAGAACAGGGACCAGAGCTTAATAGGGGGGCAGTGTCCGACTTTCTTCTTCTGTGGAGGTCTTTGCAGCAGTTTGGCCGTTTACACAGCCACCCATTAGCCATTTTGTTTGGTCTCCTTAGACGGCATCTCCAATGCAAGGAGACAAGATTCATGTCAAGTGGGTAAAAACATCCCAGCTTAAGGATCATGTCTTCAAAGGAAACATCACATCTCTCTCTCTCTCTTTTTAAGTTTTAATTATTTCCTCAAAGAGAAAGTGAGGGACAGGCACCCCAAACAGGATCCTTAAGCCATGATCCACCTCAGCCTCAACCATCAGGATCATGGCAAGTGTGCATGCACCCAGCATGCATAGGGACCCCTTGGGGTCCCTGAGACTGTCCCATGTGGTCCCAGCATCATGGAACATTGTGTTACCACTGTGCCACCACATGACTGGAAGCCAGTGTCTCTTACAACAACTCCATAGACATAGCTTCCAGACTCCTCACGGAAGACATTCCAAGTTAGAAAATTACACATGCAGGAAAGCCTAAAGCTACAACTCCCGTCTCCCCATCAGGTATCTACAGTTCAATTACAGTTCCTCCCAAGCCAGCTGCAGTTTACCAATCAGGGGTCATTTTTACAATAAACAAGTTTGCCTAGCAACACAGTTGATATACCATGTTACCGAATTACTAGGTAACCTAAACTGGAGTTACGCCAAGGTCAAACTCTTAACAGAGTGGGAAAGGTGATGTTAAGCCCTAGTCACAATAGATGAAAGGAGAAAAATCATTTGTTCTTAATAATATAGAAAAAAAATTTGATCTCATTCAACATTTATTCATGACAAAAATGTAAACCCTAAGCAAACTATAAATACTAGGGAACATTCTTAAGTTACAAGAAAACCAACAACAAACCTCATAATTAACTGTGAAACATTAAAAGTATTTTAATGAAGACCAGCAACTTTAAAAGAATGCCTGAAATCATTCTTTCTATTAAAAATTGTACTGGAGGGGAGCCAGTAGGTGGCACGGTGGTTAAGGTGCCAGACTCCCACATAGTGAATCATGGTTCAAGTCCCAGACCCAGTGGCTTGAAAACCACACCAGGTGCATATGCATGCATGCCAAAATCCTAAGAGGCAAATGGAGGAGAAGGGATGGCAGTCTGGCCACTGCCCCCCTGAGGGGGTGATTTCTTACTTTCCCTGTCTCTCTCTGGTGAGCTTATGCACCCTATGCAAAAACCTTTAAAAAAATTGTACTAGAGTTTAGTCAATATGATAAGACCAATTATATGTATGTATGTATGTGTGTGTGTGTGTGTGTGTGTATATATATATACAATATAAGACCAATTATATGTATGTGTGTGTGTGTGTGTATATATATATATATATATATATATAGAGAGAGAGAGAGAGAGAGAGAGAGAGAGAGAGAGGATTAGGAAGAAAGAAACAAGACTATTATAATGCAAAGATAATTCTATAAATGGAAAACCCTGCAGGGAAATAGCCTGTAGGAAAGAAATTAAAATAGAGAGTTGCACAGATCTGTCCCTGAGATTATAAAGAAGCCATAGCCTAAAGCCGAAATGCTGAAGATTGTGGCGTCTTTTATAAGAGCGTCTGGAATTGAGCACCTTACACACTACCAGCCTCTTTTTAACACAGGATCTATGGATATGTAAGTGTGGGCGTATACACAAATGTGTACAACTGTTAGGCTGAATAGCTTTGAAACATATGTAAAAATTCATTCTGAGAGATTTTAAAGTTATTAAAACACCCTGATGTTTATTTTATTTATTTATGTTTTTGTCATTTGCTTCTTCCTCTTAAAAACAAAGTCAGAAACGGAGTTTTAAAAGGCTAAAATTTGAAACATGTTTTGTTTAAAGAATCTCTCTGTGGTA